TCACACAACTCATCAATTCTAGTGTTCTTGAACTCACTACCATTGTCACTCCTAACTATCTTGATGGTTATTTCAAACTCATTGTGAATGCCCTTGACAAATGATTTGAATGTTGTAAATACATCACTTTTGTCCACTAGAAAGAATATCCATGTGTATCTAGTGTAATCATCCACTATCATAAAGCCATATTTGTTACCACCAATGCTAGTGTATTATGTTGGACCAAACAAATCCATGTACAATAAATCAAATGCTTTACTAGTGCTCATCATGCTTTTCTTAGGATGGGTGTTTCCAACTTGTTTGCTGGCTTGACAAGAGCTATAAAGCTTATCCTTTTCAAACACAAACATCTTTTAAGCCTCTAACCAAGTCATGTTTAACCAATCTATTCAATTATTTCAATCCAACATAACCAAGCCTTCTATGCCATAACCAACTCATACTTGACTTAGTGAACAAGCATGTAGATAATCTAGCTTCACTAGTATTAAAATCAACCAAGTATAGATTCTCATATCTAAAGCCTTTGAAGATCAAGTTAGAGCCATCTACACTTATGATCTCTACATCATCTACTCCAAATATGCATTTGAATCCAAGATCACACAATTGAGCCACGGATAGCAAATTGAAGTTCAAGCTCTCTACTAGCAACACATTGGATATGCTCATGTCATTGGATATTGCTATCTTACCAAGCCCTTTGACCTTGTCTTTGCCATTGTCACCAAATGTGATACTATCATAACCATCATTGCCATTGGTGTTGATTGAGTTGAACATTCTTGCATCACCAGTCATGTGTTGAGTGCACCCACTATCAAGAACCCAATGCCTTTCTCCGGCTTTATAATTGACCTACAAAAGAAGATCAATTCTTTTTAGGTACCCAAACTTGCTTGGGTCCTTGAAGGTTAGTCACTAAGCTCTTTGGTACCCAAATGGCTTTCTTCTTTGAGCCCATCCATGGTTTATCATTGAACTTAGCCTTCACACCATTTGTACCCTTAATAAGCATATAGCATGAATCAAGCATAAGGGAGGATACATTAGCATTTTTGCTCTTGTTGGTGCATTTATGCTCTTTATGACCAACTTGCTTGCAACTAGTGTAAAACCGATCATTGTTCTTCACAAAACTAGCCTTATGAGGAGCAAAGGCCGCCTTGCCTTTCTTGGGGATATAGCCCAATCCCTCTTTGTAGAGAGAACCTCTTTGGCTACCTAAGCACATAAGCAAGCGGTCCTCACCATCATAGGCCTTAGCCAAAGTGTGAGTGAGCTTGTTAACCTCCTTCTTGAGATTCTCATTCTCAACCTCTAGTGAGGCATCACAAGTGAGACCGTCACCACTAGATGAGGTGGAAGTGAAAGTACTACAAGAAGGGTTAGTAGAAGGAACAATGATAGACATAGATAGTGATTCATCAATTATATTACAAGTTAAACCTACATCACAAGTATCAACATGCTTCTTTTTATTTTGCTCATCAAGCAAAGAGGAATGATCCTTTTCAAGCTTTTTGTGAGCTTTGCCAAGCTTCTCATTGGCTTCCTCTAGCCTCTCATGAGATGCAATGAGCTCATCAAAGGCTTGTTTAAGGGCTTTTAGTTCCTTACGCAAGCTTTTGCATTCCCTCTTCTTGATGTCAAAGTGTTCTCTAGCATTTTCTAGCATGTCAATTAATTCATCCTTAGTAGGTTCATCATCATCACTATCACTATCATTTTCATTTTCATTTTCATTTTTATTATTATCATCATGTTCTTCATCACTTTTATCATCACAAGTTTGTACCTTAGTGGCCTTAGCCATGAAGCATGATGAAGAGTCGAAGAGAGAAGGCTTCTCATTGATAGCAATGCTTGCTAGAACCTTCTTCTTGGTGGTCTTGTGATCATCACTATCATCATCATCATCACTTGAGGAAGCATCACTATCCCAAGTGACCACATATGAACCACCCTTCTTCTTCTTGAAGGCCATCTTGTCCTTTTTCTCTTTCTTTTCCTTCTTGTCCTTCTTCTTGTTCTTCTTGTTGTCGTCATCATTGTTGCTATTGTATGGACATTGAGCAATAAGATGATCTTTGCTTCCACACTTGAAGCACTTTCTTGACTCTTCTTTGTTCTTAGATGAAGACTTCTTTCTTCTAGCACGATAGCCCTTCTTCACCATGAACTTGCCAAATCTCTTGACAAAGAGAGCCATCTTCTCATCATCATCATCATCCCATGAATCATCTTCTTCACTTGATGTTTCTTGCTTGGCTTTGCCCTTGGATGATGTGGCCTTGAATGCCACACTCTTCTTCTTGTCATCCTTCTTCTCATCTTTCTTCTCCCTCTTTTCTTCCTTCTCATCATCATCTCTATATGTATCATCGGTCATTATATCTCCCAACACTTGGTTTGGTGTCATGGTGTCCAAACCACTCCTCACTAGAATAGTGACCAATTCACCAAATCTTGAAGGTAAGCATCTCAAGAACTTGTGGGAGAAGTCCTTGTCCTTCACCTCTTCTCTAAGTGCTTTGAGATCATTGACAAGCACTTGAAGCCTATGGAACATCTCCGGCACACTCTCATCCTCCTTCATCTTGAAGCTTGCAAACTTTTCTTTGAGAATGTATGCCTTTGCACCCTTCACGGCTTGAGTACCCTCAAATGATTCTTCCAACTTCTTCCAAGCCTCATGAGCTATCTCAATATTCTTGATTTGCTCAAATGTTCTCTCATCAATTGCATCATGAATAGCACTTAGAGCAATGTCATTGTTTTGGAGAAGCACTTCTTCGGCCGCGGTGGGATTCTCCGGATCCTCAATCTCAATTTTGATTTCTACCGCCTTCCACACTCTTCTATTGATTGACTTGATATGTGTGGTTATTTTTGATTTCCAATATGGATAATTTGTGCCATCAAATTGGGGTAGCTTCTTTGTGTTGTTGATTTGAGCCATTTTTACACCGAAGCTTGTTAAGCCTCAAGTCACGGTGACCTCGGCTCCGATACCACTTAAAAGGTCCTAATGGCTAGAGGGGGGGTAAATAGCCTAATAAAAATTTCTACAACAACACTTAACAAAATGGTTAGACAATTATGAGGCGAAGCGAGAGTTGCGCTAGCCTACTCAAAATACAAGCCACCTACCACAATTCTAGGTTAGATAGTATCTATTCACACAATAGCTATGAGACTACCCTATGTTAGTGTGCTCTCAAAGGCTAACTAAAGAGCCACACCAACTAAGCAAGCAAGCTCTCACAACTAGCTACACTAAAGAGCTTGACAACTAGTTTGCGGTAATGTAAAGCAAGTGATCAAGAAAGTTATACCATCGTGTAGATGAAGGAACCAATCAATCACAAGAGTGAATAACAATGAAGACCAATCACCTCGAAATCAAAGGATGAACACAATGATTTTTTACCGAGGTTCACTTGCTTGCCGGCAAGCTACTCCTCGTTGTGGTGATTCACTCACTTAGAGGTTCACGCGCTAATTGGCATCACACGCCAAACCCTCAATAGGGTGCCGCATAACCAACACAAGATGAGGATCACATAAGCCACGAGCAATCCACTAGAGTACCTTTTGGCGCTCCACCGGGGAAAGGTCAAGAACCCCTCACAATCACCACGATCGGAGCCGGAGACAATCACCACCCTCCGCTCGACGATCCTCGCTGCTCCAAGCCGTCTAGGTGGCGGCAACCACCAAGAGTAACAAGCGAATCCCGCAGCGAAACACGAACACCAAGTGCCACTAAATGCAAACATTCAAGCAATGCACTTGGATTATCTCCCAATCTCATAAAGATGATGAATCAATGATGGAGATGAGTGGGAGGGCTTTGGCTAAGCTCACAAGGTTGCTATGTCAATGCAAATGGCCAAGAGAGTGAGCTTGAACCGGCCATGGGGCTCAAATAGAAGCCCCCACGAAATAGAGCAGTTGTACCCCTTCACTGGGTAAAACGCGGGGTGACCGGACGCTCCGGTCATATTGACCGGACCCAGGACCTAGCGTTCAGTTGCTCGATGTCAGCCACGTGTCATACTGCATTCAACAGGAGTCGTCTGATCTCAATGGTCATCTTGTTGACCGAACGCTCCGCTACAACTGACCGGACGCTCAGCCTCCAGCGTCCGGTCGTTTCCAGCAAGGTTCCAGAAATGAATTTTCACGACCGGACGCGTCCGGTCATGCCCTACCGGACTCACCCAGCGTTTGGTCCCTCAATGTCTCCTCTGTGCGCCTCACGTCAGCGTACGTTAGCACTGACCGGACGCACCCTGCCAGCGTCCGGTCGTAGAGCGACCCAGCGTCCGGTCGTTTGACCGACGCCAGCGTCTTCGCTGTTACACCTGACCGGACGCGCTGGTCCAACCGAGGCCAGCGTCCGGTCACACCCAGTGACCACCGTCTTTACTGTCTAGGGCGCCGGTGGCACCGTCGGACTGTCCGCACTCTACAGGCGGACACTCCGCTGGTGGAGATTCTTACCCATGCACCTAAACTTCACCACCCTTGATCAATTTTTCACAAACATTTTCAAGGGTGTTAGCACTCCACTAGATCCTAAATGCATATGCAATGAGTTTGAGCATCTAGTGGCACTTTGATAACCGTATTCCGATATGAGTTTCACCCCTCTTAATAGTACGGCTATCGATCCTAAATGTGATCACACTCACTAAGTGTCTTGATCACTAAAACAAAATGACTCCTACAATTTATACCTTTGCCTTGAGCCTTTTGTTTTTCTCTTTCTTCTTTCCAAGTCCGAGCACTTGATCATCACCATGGCATCACCATCATCATGTTATGATCTTCATTTGCTTCACCACTTGGAGTGTGCTACCTATATCATGATCACTTGATAAACTAGATTAGCACTTAGGGTTTCATCAATTCACCAAAACCAAACTGGAGCTTTCAAGAGACCACACATATTTTGGACCTCTTGTGCAGCTCACACAATCAACCTTATGCTCCAAGGAATTGGCAACATGATTTGGTTCAAGAAAGTGGTTGACCAAGCAAAGGCATTTACCATATTTGTCTATGGCCACACAAGGACATTGGAGTGCTTGAGATACTTCACAGAGGGGAAAGAGGTAGTGAGGCCAGGAGTGACTAGGTTTGCTTCGAACTTTCTCACTTTGAGTAGCATGCAAGAGAAGAAGGACCAGCTAAGGAAGATGGTGGTTGATAGTAGGTGGGACTCATTGAAGGATGTGAACAAAGAAAGAAAGAAAAGAGGCAACAACAACTATATTGAGTCCAAGCTTTTGGAAGGATGTGAAGCTAACATTGACATTTTTGAGCCATTGGTCAAAGTCCTCCGTTTGGTTGATGGGGATGTGAGGCCATCCATGGGTTTCCTTTATGGAGAACTACTAAAGGCAAAGAGACAGATCAAAGAGGCCTTTAGAAATGTTGAGGCTCGGTTCAAGGATATAATAGCTGTTATTGACAAGAAGATGAATGGAAGACTTGATTCTCCATTGCATTTGATGACCTATTTTTTTTGAATCCTCACTATAGCTATAGTGACCCATCAATCTTTGATCAGCCCAAAATATCGAGAGGGTTTATAGCTTGTGTTGAGAAATTTTATTATCATGATGAGGACATGCAAACATCAGTCGCCAACATTGAACTAAAGAAGTTTCAGAATAGAGAATGACCCTTTAGCAAGAAGCTTGCTAAGAATTTTAAAAACTTGATTACAACCCAGGTAGAGGTACTTCCTATAAGCTTGCATGGCTCATGGTTGTTTGTTGTTTGCTGTTTTCTAAACTAATAGAGGTGTTTTTTTATTTCAGCATCATGGTGGAGACTGTATGGATATGAAACACCAGCTTTACAGAAGATGGCTACAAGGATCCTATCTTTGACATCAAGCTCTTTTGGTTGTGAAAGAAATTGGAGTGGGTTTAAAGGGGTTAGTACCTATCTATTATGAACATTTCAGTTTCAGCAGCATTACAATTAAATTGTAGAACCGAGAATGCTCTTTTTAAATTGTAGATACACACTAAGAATAGGAATAGGCTTACTACAACCCGCCTCAACAAGCTGGTGTATATCCAATTCAACTCCAAGCTGCTTAGTAAGAGAGAAAAGATCAAGTCAAACAAAATCATTGATGTTCTCTTGTCTAGTGATAAACAAGATTTCAAACCAACTTGCATACAACCAAGCTCAAGGTTTTCTCCAAGAGGGTGGGGATGATTGTCATCAAAGTAGCTAACTTTAGAGGGGAGGAAGATGAGATGGAAGGTATGCGAAGGATACCTTGAGTACACATCTTGGTTCATTGGAGAGGCGGTGGGAGCGAGATGAACAGCTTTGAGCTGCGTGTGGAGAAGTGCAAGAGTGAGGGAGCTCTATGAAGGAGAAGAATTTGAGTTTGAAGAAGAAGAGTATGACGATGAGGATGTGTATTGTAGTGGATCTGGTTGACTTTCTTTTTTTGAAGAAGAAATATGATCTGGACCATCTCCATCTAGTAGTGAAGCCTTTTGTGATGCCCTGGGTCTTATGAACCTGCAATTGTGTCACTTTGTGTCTGTGTGTCTTCTTTTGTGATTTGTGATACCTAAACTAAGAACTATGTGCTTGTGCTGCCCTTTATTTATAAATTGTGTTGTGCACTTGTATTACTGTCCTATCCACTTGTATTGTAATTACCAAGCTAGTCGATATGGTGTGCTCATGGATGGGAGGTCATCTGAAATCATCATCTAGATAAGTCACAACTTAGTGTTTTCTATTTTTTATGAACAACTAGCTGTCTATTGACTAATTTACTAACTACTACTATAACCCGTTGTCGAAAAATATATTGCAGGAGCTAGGAACATGCAAGCAAGTAAGCTTAATGCATCATCAACTAGGAATTTGCAAAAACGATGATATGTCTCATGGCCCTCTTTTATACTACTACTGTGACTCATATGTAGTAGTTATATACATATATATAGTTATATACATAATATATATAATTTATGGCTATATTGCCAAAATGCCTACCAAAACGCCTATGAGCGCCTAGGACCTAGCAGTACTCCCGACTAGGCGCTGGGCAATCAATCAAGCATTTGGGTCAGCAAATGAAGACTATATAGCGGTAGATTCCGCCTAAAAAGATACAAATGACATGAAACAAGGTTTGGATGGAGGACAAGTGGCTAGGGTTTCCTAGCTCGAATTCATAAATCAACAGAACTCACAAGGCAGAGGATGGGTTTCACCGCTAATTCTATTTTAAATGAGCGGTGAAAATACTATCGAAAAAATTCTATCCAGAAGATTCCTAGCTCTATATTGAGCTTAATTGGGGAGTAGTTAGCGATTACTCACTCCATTCCAAATTATAACTAACTACATTAATTTTTTTCCTCCATGAGATCACACCATTTGGTGCATCGGACCGATGGGTCATTGTAACTTTCTTTGAGAGTCAAAATATTTTAAGTTTGACCTAAAATTCCAACTTTCTTGGAAAGTCAAAACATTTCAAATTAGCCAAAATTATAGAGAATTACCAAGATTTATGACATCAAATAGGTATACTATGAAAATATAATTAATGATGAAGGGCCAAATGATACTTATTTAGTATCATAAATGTTATCATTTTATTATATAAATTTGGTTAAACTTAAGATGCTTTGACTCTAACAAAAAAAAAGTTAGAATGACTTATAACTTGAGATGGATAGAGTATCTGAATAAAAAGTGGCGGTGAATCCAAACAAACCACCTACTCATAGTGTACTAACCATTAGCATATTTTAGCAAGTTAGAGGCTACCGGAGATGCTAATTTTAGTGAGATCCGCAGACAAGCTAAAACCAAATGCAAACCGGAGTTAGTGAAGGCGACCTGGCCATGGATAGAGCATCCTTGGCATGCGGCGACAACTCGAGGCATGCCGGTGATCAAATGCACAAGATCCTCTCTTTGGAAGCTCGACCATGCATCATCATTTTTTTTTCGCACCCAAAATAAAAAGCAAGTAGCTTTGTTGGCCCACAGTTAGCCTCCCGACCACCGAGATGGCCTACATGTGACCACTACAAGATAGCCTTGAGACCACCGAGATGGCCTCGAAATAATTTCACCACCACTCTGAGATAGCCTCCGCACCACCGATATGGCCTCCAGACCACTCCGTTGGTCTCATAGGATCGCCGGCTCACGACGGTGAACCACTCTAGCCGATCTTGCCAGCAAGCTCACCGGCTCGGCGAGTGGAGCACTTGACGGTCTCACTTGGAAACATGTTGCACTTGAGCACCCACTAGCCATGCGTGCGAGACCACGCTATCGGCGTTGTCCGTACTCCACACACTATTAGGACGGAGTTGGGAGAAGAAGGAAGACGGAGGAGCAAGCACGCACAATACAAGACAACAGGTATAATAAAAACGATGAAGAACACAAGGCCCAAATGTCATATGTGTGATGACAAATCAGAGCTCTTTCTTGAGTTGCCATACATGTCTATTTATACAACTCTAACTATCTAGTCCATGTGCGGCGCCCATCATGCTTGATACACAAGAACTAGATAATGGAAGGTACAGAGTGTTGGATTTTTTTATGACTCATTGACTAAGCCCCTGAGGGTTCCTGCTCTAGGAACATGCAAAGTAGTAGAGCGCAGTGAGTGAGCGTAGCTGCGTGATAATTTATGGCTATATTGCCAAAATGCCTAGGCAGCTGCATATCAGATCACTGGCGAGGGGGCAAAGTCGGCGCCGCCTTCCTTTCTTTGTGTTCACACAGCAGAGGCTAAGTCGGCGCCGCTTTCCTCTCTTTGTGTTCATACAAGGTGGCAGTAGATTAGCTAACAATCTTCCCTAATCCTCTCGCTAACCCTTGTACCCCTTCCATGCCGATCATCTCCTTCACTCCATGAGTCGAAATCGTCCGAGCGGCTTAGTGAGGACGTCTCGTGAGCTGCAAATTATAAAAGATTTAACCGACGAACTTCGATGACGATTTGCCCTCCATCAACACGGTCCACGAGAGAAAGTGAAACTTTACGTCGATGTGTTTACTCCGATCATGCGAAACCGGATTCTTCGCGAGGGCGATGGCGGGCTGGTTGTCCACCATCGAGATGGGTGGTGAGCTTCACGCCATTAGCTCATCACCGGCCCGGTCAAAGCCCGCCCGACAGCTTGAGCACCCGCAAAGAGCCACACAACTTGGCACGCTTGTGGCCGCCATACATGCATCGCTCGCGCGTAGATAGCGCCACCATCTTCTTTCGCTTTCAGCAGCGACAACCATGAAATTGGGGCTGACCGAGGAAGACGAAAGCACGCTAGAGGTGCTCCATCGTCCGTCGATGTCCCCGCCATGCGCATCGCTGAATACCGTGAATACCGTAGAGCTGCAGCCCCGCCCGCCGATCTTTGGGAAGATGATTCCATGATTCACCGCCCCTTGATGTAGCGTAGTAGCCGCTTCACCGCAGCCGGATTGATCCTCTCTCGGGATCCTCCATGAAGTGGATCGACGTAGCACGGCGAACGCAATATTGGCCTCGTGTGAACTAGATAGCGCGACCGCTGACCCGACGATGCTCGGTGAGAGTGTTGCATCCACCTTCGCCGCATCTTTGGCCGCCTTCGCCGCCTTCCCCGCTCCATCGGAGTCACGCATGGCTTGCACTCCACCATGCCGCTCCTCTCCAACAGCTTGGAGGCATACGCGCTTTGCCCGAGCATGAGTTCCTCCTTCCCCTGTCTCACCTCGATGCCGAGGTAGTAGGAGACAGTGCTGAGATCGCTCATTCCGAAATGAGCTGCCATCTCTCGCTTGAAGCTGTTGATATCCTCCGTGCGCACGCCGGTGACGATTAAGTCATCCACATACACGCTGACCACGAGCTCTTCCTTCCCCCATCGTCGCGTGTAGAGCGCGTGCTCGGTTGCGCACCTCTGAAACCCAAGCTCGCCCAGCGTGGTGTCAAGCTTGGCGTTCCATGCTTGAGGGGCTTGCTGCAGCCCGTAGAGCGCTTTGCGTAGTTGGAGCACCCTGTGCTCCTCTCCCTTGACAGCGAACCCTGGAGGTTGCCTGACGAAGACCGTTTCCGCCAGCTCGCCGTTGAGGAAGGCCGATTTAACGTCCAAGTGATGGACGCGCCAGTCCTTTGCTACCGCCAAAGCAAGTAGCAAACGGACCAACTCCATGCGCGTGCCATGGCGCAAAGACCTCCTCGAAGTCGATGCCCTCATATTTGGACAAAGCCTCGACAAAGCGACGAGGCGCGCCTTGTGCTTGACAATGGCGCCGAGCTCGTCCCTTTTGACTTTGTACACCCACTTTAGGCTGATCGGACGACATCCTGGAGGTGGATCGACAAGCTGCCAAGTCTCGTTTTCCTCGATCGCCTTCATCTCCTCCAGCATCGCCCGTTGCCAGTTTCCATCACGCTCGGCTAGCGCGAACGTGGGTGGTTCCTCTACACTGACGAGTAGCAGCTCTGCCTCGTTGAGCAGCCTACCCGCCA